GGGGGAGGGAAGGAAGGGAGGGAGAAGGCCTGAAGGCTGTCACGACCCCGCCCACTACACTGGGGCGATCCTGTATTCCCATTTCCTCTGCTTTGGGCGACCGACCGACAAGCGACTGCCTGCCTGCCTGCCTGCCCGCCGATTCGTATCCAGCACCACACGCCCCATGTCCCCCCACCCTCAGCCCTGACCCCCTCGTTGTGCCTGCCTGCCTGCCTGCCTACATCAGTGCCTCATACACCACGCACACGCACACACGCAGCAGTGGCAGCCGAGAGGGGGGAGGGGGAGGGAGGGACGGGAAGCCAGCTGCAGTGCACTCACTGCCTGCTCAAGGGCGGTGGCCGGGATGGGTGCTTTCTTTCTGTGTGATGGCGATATGCGACAGAAAAGACCTACCTAGTGTCTGGATGGATGGATGGTGGATGGATGGATGGACGCCTGGCTGATAGAATGGAATGCCTGAGTTGAGAAAAGGAATTGCCTGAGTGGGGGTGGGGTGGCGGGGTGAAGGGATGGTGCATGTGATTGATCGACTGACTGACTGATGTGCATACCATACACACAACACACCACAAAGAGGGCAGTGGGGCGGTGTGCGTGCGTGTGCAGTGGACACATGCGCTTGAGGCGGAAGGACAGACGGACGGAGCGTAGCAGGCAAACAGACAGAGAGACAGGAGAGAATGGCGGGCAGGCAGGCAGGCAGTGCCCTGGCTTGACAATCCCATTACTTGTGTATGGCCGTGCATCATCCGTTTGATGCATGTCATGGCCAGGAACCTCTTTCGCTGTGAGGAGCTCACAAAGGACACACTTCTCTGGGTTGAGTGAGACCTACGGCCCCCTCCTGGGGCCCGTACCGTACGTATTGCCTACATACATTCAATGAACCGTTTCATCGCAACACACAAAAACACACGCACATGAGAGTGTCACTGTCGGCCAGCATCTGTATCATCTGTGTGACGTCCACACACACACACACGCATGGGCGCGCGCACGCCAACTAGACCGCCCCCCACCCCATCCGTCCATCCCCTGTCGACTAAGTGACTCTGTAGTGACCGACCCTCTCTCTGCGTGTCTGCACATCTGCACACCTAACCAAAACCCTTTCTGCCGTCTCTGGCTCCCCTGCTCCCTCTACACACATGGCGGGGCGGGGCGGGGCGGGAATGCACTGCGATCGGCCGACAGCTGGCACCGTCACACGACGCTTCACTTCCGCTGGAAGAAGTTCCTGAGAGAGAGGCGCACAAAGATGCAATGGACGATGCACACACAGGCCTGCCACCGTGAGTGTTGAATGCGTTGCGTACGTGATGGACGACTGGTTGGCGGCCTTGTCCTTATTGTTGCCGCCTTTGCCACGACCTGCAGGCATCACATCACACGAAGGTCATCCATCCCCGGGCCGGCCACTTTGTCTGTCGGTGTGTCTGTCTGTCTGTCTCTCTGTCTGTGTGTCTTTCTGCTTCAGGTACCTCCTTTCTTGGGCTGCGCTGCGGTGGGCTTGCTGAGGCCAGACCGGGAAGACGCAGCGGACGGCTTGGGCTTGGGCTTGGCAACCGGCACCTCCTTGAACTCGGTCACGTCCTCAGTCACTGAACACAACGGAAAGAAAGAGAGAGAGAGAGAGAGCACACAACTGGGTAAGGGGTGTGCTGCGTCTCGGTTCTGTCTGGCTCACCGACCTAGGTAGTTGCCCTCCTTGAAGGTCTTGGTGCTCTGCACCTTCTGCCGCTGGGTGTAGACCTTCTGCGGCGGGTCGTTGTCAGCCTCGCCATCGATATCCATCCTGTCATCTGACAAACACACACACACACACACACGTGTAAATTTCACATGGATGTCAGCAAGCTCAGCAGGCTAGCTGACGACCTCCGAACAGCTGCCGTGCCGCGTCGTCATCCACCATGCCCCCGTTGCTGTCGCCATTGGCCATCACGACGTCACCATCCATGTCGTCATCCTCATCTGGCGCGCAGGCACACAACAGACAGACACCCACACAAACACACACACAGAGGACATTCTCCATCCCTCCCTCGCCGTGTGTCGAGTGTCTCGGGTCTTACCCATCCTCTGGTCCCTGTCCCCCGTGCCGCTGCCCGTCCCCCCTCCCCCTCCCCCTCCGCCACGACTGTTGCTCGACGACGATGCAGCTGCTGCCGCTGCTGCCGCAGCCGCAGCCGACGAGGGCTGTGCCTTGTCCTTGTCCTTCTTATTGGCTGCTGATTGGGAGGTGAAGTAGGAGTGGATCGCGCCCTTCTTCTGCACCGGCTTGGACGCCCCCTTGCCGCCCTTGCCCTTCGGCTGGGCCTTGCTGCCGGCCTTGGACGTCCCGGCACCCGCACCACCCGCACCACCAGAAGCAGCAGCAGCAGCGGCGGCATCCTTCGGGGAACCGTCGTCCTTCCTGCAGACACACACACACACAAACACAAACACAGACAGAGGAGATGGGAGTGCTGTTCGCGTTGCGTGTGTGTCCGTGTGTCCATGTGGGCGTGTGTACTCTTCGGGCGATGGTTTGGGGGCGGCTCCGGGGGTTTGGCGGATGGTGTTGGCCAGCATAGGGAAGTCAGCATACCTACAGAACACAAGAGCAGGCAGTGTATGAGGCGCATCGCATCATGCAGCGGCAGGGGAGGGAGGGCAGTCTTTGTGTTTTCTCTCACCCTGCCGTGGCGAATGTGCCGTCCTTTGCGGCATTCGCGAGATTCCTCTTGGCCTCCTCAACCAGCTGAACAACACGCACACACACACACACACACACACAAAAGAAGAAACAGGGCTATCCCTGCAAACTTCTGTCTGCCCGCTCTCTCTCTGTGTGTGCGCGCGTCTACGTCGTGGTGCACAATGGCCGCGGCGTCCTTGGGCTCGATGGCGGCGGGCCGGACTGTGTGCACAAACACCCCGATCTCACGGGACTCGTCAAACAGGCCCTTCAACTCTGCAGGAAGGTATGGTATGGAAGAAGATACACACGTACGTCATGCCGCTGTTCCTGTTGGTTGGGCGCAGCGCTCACCCTCCAGGGTGTCTTGCGTGGCCATCATGACTTTGCTGCGATTGGGCGCGCCCTTGAGCCGGCCGCTCACCACATAGTCGCCCGCTACCTTGGTGGCATCGTCCGTGCCTTGCTTGTGCTCCAAATAGGCGAACAACAACCTGATGACATGGTGGACGGATGACAGACATAAAACGACAGATCAGCGGCACAGATCAGCCACACCTCCCCTTGCTGTGCTGCTCCGGTGTGTGCGCGCGTGGAAGGGCTGTGTGTATGTCTGTGCATCAGTCCCTCCTACAGGCTGACCGTTTGGCCCCATCCGATGAGAGGTCGAGGTCTGCCCGCTGACACAACAAAGTGTACGACACCTGAACACACACACACACACATACAGGCGGCCCATGCAGTGCAGAGATCCATAAGGCGGAGCCTCCAGAAATGTCATCCGCCTCCCTCTCGCCTCGCCCGCCCACCGGCTTGGCTTCATCCAGAATGCTGCTGTCCAGCAGCCGGAAGAGCCGCTTCAAATCACCCATCACTCACGCACGCCGCGCCAAGAAACAGATCTGAGCTGAGCAGCTGACGAAGTCTATTCCGCCCTGCAGCCGTCACCCGCAGCCGTGTTTGTCAGGCCGACGGATCTCGATGTGCTTCCCGCCGCACCCTGAGAATGCGTCGCAGGATGATGGTGGATTCGTCGCAATTTCTGCTTCGGAAAAGCTTCTACGGTTCCTCGTGGACGTACTGTCCTGAAAACATCGCTCGACCGGCGCTTGCGAGCTTAGATGTGGAGGCGAGGACAATGCTAGAGGCCGGAGAAGGTTGCCTTTGTCCTGAAAGGGCGAAGAAACCCCGCACAGGAAAAACTCAGCAGGAGCTCCCCTCGTCAGCATCAGCAGCTCATCCCTCGTCAAGTGCAGCGGTTGCAGCCGTCAGCGGCCCGCCGATTCTCGAGAAGCTGCCCGGCGAAGTGGTGGAGAGTTTGGTCGTCTTTGTATCTGACACAGAGGTGCGTCAAGGAAGCTGACGGAAACTCACTCACACACCGTGTGTGGGCCATGTTGTCTCCATTTCAGGCGTGTTTGCTCTCTCGCACGGCGAAAGCGCTGTGGAGGGTGAGGAGAGAACGGCAGGCAGAGACGGGAGATCCGATGCGTGTCGGTCACTCCTTCCTTCCCCGATGGGTGTGTGCAGGTGTGCTTGAATGAGATGCGGCGTCGGTATGTGGAGCGGCTGGCTGCCCGTCTGAACGTGGACGCTGACGTGGCCGGCAAGATGCACACGGCCAAGGCCATCGAGAAGGAGATCTTCGCCACCAGCCGCGGCCCCAAGGAGTATCGGCAGAAGCTGCGACAGGTGCGTGTGATGAAAAACCGAGCGTTGCTCACACTGCATGGGCATTGCGCCCCTTTCCCTCTCCATCTTTCAGGTCAGTGCCGGTCTGCGTCAGAATCTCGAGCTGTGCAGCAGCATTTTACAGGGCGCCATCTCACCGAGCGAGCTGTGCTCGATGCGGTCGGAGGACATGGCCAACCGGCACGTCTCCCAGCGGCGGCGATCTGACCGCGCAGAGGGACTGGAGCGCTCCATCCGTCGGCCGTCGACACAGAACGTGACGCGGATGTACATGTGCGACCGGTGCCACAAGAGCGAGGCTCACATGACTTACTGGCGGCGGAAGAACGTCGTGGACAGGACCACTCTCAAGCTGGTCTGCATTCACTGCAGACACATGTGGGAGGCCTGAGGGAGGGAGAGAAGGGAGAGAGAAGGGGCTTGTTGAGTTGTCGGACAGCCATTGGTCAAACACATTCATGGCACTTGTGCGTTGCGACACACCGCAATGTGCAAGTACCATGGGTGTGGCTGTCTGATGGCATGGCTGTCCGACACCCATGTCAGACATGAGTAAAGAAGCATTGCAGGCAGAGTAGTGGGGGGTGGAGGAAAGGTGCGGTGCGGTGTGGTGCGGTGCGGGCCGCTGTTTGTAGTGACATTTCTTCTGTCGGTGAGACAGTCAGTAGTTGCAGTGGGCCCTCTGTGGGCCACCAAGTCAAGGCATACGCGGATCACCAGGGTTTGGCGATTCTGTTTACATTTTCCGCAAGCCTCCGAATTTTGAAGCCGTGTTTCAGCGGGATGGCGGCTGCCAACGGTGGCGGTGGTCCAGCCCAACAGCTGCAGCGCCAGCTCGAGGAGCTGCTGGCGGTGGCTGGTGGCGTCCTTGCGAGGGCTGATGCTCGTGCCGCCGGCCCTGGGCAGGGTGGTGGTGCCCGCCCCGGAGTTCCCGCAGCGCCCCGTCCGTTCGCCGCCCTGTCTGATGAAGACATCGAGTACCTGAAGGACAAAAACGACCGTGGCGAGCTGCCTGCATGGTTCATGGGCATCGACGGTAAGTACGTGTGCGCAAGATGAACGGCAATGAAGCCAATATATACAAGTGCTCTCTCTGTCTGATGTTGGCCTCGCGCCAGGGGTGACATACGAGCCCATGAAGCAGCCGGTGATCACGCCAGACGGTATGTAATCCATGGGACCATGAGATCAGGCTGCCTGAGGGAGAATGGATGGATGGATTGAATCCGATGGATGGATGTGTTCATTTGTCCATCCCTTCGTTCATCATTGCAGGCCACACCTACGACTACCAGACCATCGTGCAGAACGGCAACAAGAGCCCCCTCAGCCGCATGCGCGTAAGCAACATCCGCCTCCGCACCAACTTCACCGTCAAGCAGCACATGGAGGAGTACGTCGCCCGAGCAAAGGCAGAGGACGCCAAGATGCAGGTCGACGAGGGAGGTGGCGGCGGAGAGGACGGCGGGGCGGCGGAGAGGAGGGAGGTGCGTACTAGCATCACGCCGGGCCGATTTGGCAACATCGGTAGGCGGCGAGGAAAAGATGGATGGCCACCATGGCACACAGACGGTGTGATGTGTGTGTGTGGTTTGTGTAGGTGGTGGGGGTCGTCTGGGTGGCGGTGGCGGTGGCGGTGTTGGCGTTGGTGGTGGTGGTGGTGGGGGCGAGTTGACGTTAGAGGACTGCCGGGCCATGTTGGAGACGTCCCAGCTGAGCGACGAGATCACCAGAGAGCCGCCCCAGGCGCTCGTCGACATGGTGTGGTGGGTGGTGTGGTGGATGGGGGGGGTGAGGGGGGTCGTTGGGTCGTTTGGGTGGGCGGGCGTGCAGGTGCGGGGCAACTTAGCGGTGTGGAAGGCCATGTTCCAGTGGCTGGAGGAGGGCCTGGCGCGCAAAAAGTGGGCATTCCCGGAGCAGGTACTAACTTGGTGTGGGGTACACACAAAACACGACACACACACACACAGCGTCACATTGTCCGTGCAATGGACCAGGCTCGGATGCGTGTGTATGTGCGTGTGGGTGATGGATGTTTCTGTCTGCACAGATGTCGGATTTGGAGCTCAGCCTCGCGGAGAGTATGGGCAAATCGGAGGCCAACACGTTCCGCGAGCGCCTGGTAGACAGACAAGCATTCGAAATGAGACAGACGGAAAGGGAGCCGTCAATTGGCTAGTATCTGGTGTGGTGTGGTGTGGTGTGCAGATCGTGTGGATTGGCAAGGGGGACGGCAAGAAGTCTCTCCGCCAGTTCAAGGCCAACGACCGCGACAAAATCGAGGACGCCGTGCAAGACATCATCATGGTGAGGACAGCACGACGCACGCAGAACGGTGAGTTCATTTGGATGGATGGATGGATGGATGCGTGTATGTGTGTGCGTGTGTGTCACAGCGTGTCGCGCATCCGCTCGCCCCCGGCCGCCGGGGCCGCCCGTGACTGTAGAGGCACACACACACACACACACACACCCCGACACACACACATCCAGGCCAGGGAGCCTGAAGAGACGGAGGAGGGATGGCCATGGTTGGGTGCGACGGTGACCAGCACAACAGACAGATGATGGGGTAGCTTTGCATACTGACTGCATGTCCTGCCTGTATGGGGCGTGCGTATGTGAGGGTGGGCTTCAAGCAGCGGGTGCGGCGGGCGGATAGTAGTAGGGAGGGGTCGTGGCTTGGCTGACTGACATGAACGACAGACACTTCTCTGAGCTCGTGCGTGTGTGCAGACGTTGCCTGATGATTCAAGCCTTGTATGTCTGACCCCTGTCCCGTCCCTCGCAGCAGCAGCCAGCAAGTAGCAACAAAAATCCTCCGAGCCAAAGGGAAGGAAAGGAACGCAAAGCAAAGCAAAGCCTACACAGCACTCACTACATCAACTGGCCTTCACATTGACTGACGTGGCATACACCCAGACAGCAGTTCTTTCTCTCTCTGTGAGTGAGCGCATCTGTCGTTTCCGAGTCGCGCCCACTCACCCGCCCACCCACCCGCTCGCAAGCTGCTCTCACCCTCACCCTCACTCTCACCCTCAGGCACGCATCAGAATGATCTCTCGCCTCTCGCCATTGACCAGTCAAGTCAGGGACCCACTCATGTATGTCAAATGTCCCTCATCTCACTCACCTCACCCCAGTGCCACCTTGACAAGCCCGTCCCTGAGTGCCTTGATGCTCACCAGCACCGTCGTCCAGGTGGCCGTCAGCGCCATCGCTATCGCGCTGAAGGTGAAAGCCTCTCCCTCATTCACAATCGCCGCCGTCCCCAGCCCGTGGGCGGCGCTTCCCATGGCCAGCCCACGGGCCGTCGGGTTGGTAATGCCCAACGAGGTCAGCAGGAGGGCCCCGAAATTGGCGCCAAGGATGCCCGTCAGAACCACTAGAGCAACTGCCAACCTGCACGCACCAGACCAGGCAGGCACACAGACAGAGGTAAGGGCGGGAAGACAACAGACATGTCATGTGCAATGCGTGGGGTGTGTGGTGTACCTACCGGCCATCAGCGCCCAGCATGTTGGCGACTTCGATGGCCAGCGGGGCAGTGATGGACCGCGGCAACGTGGCAAGCCGCAGATCTGACGCGAGGCCTATCAACCTGGCACCGATCTGAGCAACGCGACAGACAGACAGACAGACAGACAGCATCGACGAGTGAATGCCGGCAGGCACTACCGTCTTCGGGCACACTCACTCACCGCAGTGCCGAAGAGCCCCAACAGCGCCGCCCCCAGACACCCCACAATCACCTCTGTCAGATTCCGCCTCATCTGCCGCCGATACGCATACATCTGACAGCCGAAGGTCAGCACTGCGGGGCCCAGGAGGAAGAGCAGCGCGTTGCCGGGGCCGACATGGCCGTTGGCAAGGATGTAGGGGGCGAGGATCTCTTGCCAGCTCCGCTGCGTGGCTGATCCAAGCAGAACGGCGCCGAGAATGGTGGAGAGGGAGCAGATGACCACGGGGTGCAGCCACCGAGTCAGGGAGGGGGGACAGCTGGTGCCAAACACGTAACTGGACACACAAACGAAATGACAGAGAGGCGCTCTACAGGCCATCGATGTGTGTGTGCGTGTTGCCACTCGCTGACCCGCTGAGTGTCATGCTGAGTAGGTACACCCAGACGGCCTGGCCGCCCCAGCCCTGCCGGGCACTGATTACCGACAGGCCGAAGGACACGGCCGAGAGAATCGCCACTGTGCCCGCCACGCCCTCGCCAAACGGACCGTAGTACTTGGGCGGCCGTGACGACACGCTGCTAGAGCTGGAGGGAGGGGAGCGTTGTCGAGTGGATTGGGATGAGGAGGTGGAGGAGGAGGACGCTGAGCTGGAAAGGCGCTCGGCCACCTGCAGGCAGACAAACAACACAAGTAGGTCACACCCTTGGTGTATGTGGATTGGAAGGCCATCGGGTGGCTGACCTTGGTAGTTGCGGCCACCAGTCCAGCGGTGCTAGTCAAGCTGAAGAGCAGCCCAGCCACCACAAGGCCGACTATTCTGCCCAGCTGAGGCGGCAGGTTCAGCGGCAGGACCACCAGATTGGGGGCGAAGAACACCGGCAGCCACTTCTTGATCTCAGACGCACCCAGGTCGAGGAAGGCCGCCACGTCAGCCGCTTTAGAGGGGTTGACGCGCTCAAGGACGAGCAGTGAGGCGAACACGAGCCCCATGCCGATGAGTGCACTGGGGAAGGTGATGTTGAGCGATGCCAGGAGCTGCCGAAACGCAATGTCGAGGGCGATGAAGACCGACACGCTGACGAGGGCCTTGGCAGAGGCCAGGCCTGCCCAGATGCTCCTCTCCCGCCTCCTCCTGACCGCCTCCGGTGACGTCGGCGCCGACCGTGGGATGACTTCCCCCTTTGCATTGTTCCACAGCGGTGTCCTTAGCGGAGCTTCCTCGATTGGATGAATCGATCTTGAGCCATAATGTGGCAGCTTCCTGGACAGTAAATGACCCGTTGCAAGCGGCTGGAAAGCAGCGAGGGGTTCAGAGGCGGCATGTCGATGCTGCGGAGGGAGTGGTGGCGTCGATCTCCTGAGCGATGAATCGACTGAAGCTGATAGGCACTGAGTGGCCGCCAAGGGCAGGAATACCACCAGTAACTTCATTCGCAGACCCGGCAAGGGCTCGGAAGTGCAGAACAGATCTCTGGGCTCCAGCAATCAAAATTCTATCAAGATCTGTGCAGCATCGACACCATTGGCCACTGCCGTCCACGAGAGGGACGAGAATCTTGCGCTGCGAGCTCAGCAAGTTCCTGCGCTGATTTTTGAGGCATGTTGGTCTGCCCAATGAAGCTGATCTTCATCCTTTTGGTGGCGCCGGTGCAGATCTTCGGCTTTGCCCCTCTCAACAAGAGCGCACCACCAGGCCTGCTCAAACGGGGTGGCCTCCAACGCCTTGACGCCGTGCAGCCGCAGAGAGATGCCCCCTTGCTCTCGAGCGAGCAGTTTCAAGATCATCTGAAGAGCATCACGTCCATCGATGACCTGCAACGTTCCTCGACCGCTCCCGAACCTGCTGCGCTGCCGCTGTCCCCCTCGGTTGTTGGCGGCGCACTGATGCCCCTCTTGTTGGCTGCCCCAGCAATGGCCAAGGGTCGGGAATTCGGCATCTGGGAGGGCAAGATCATTTCAAGCCTGCATCCTATCGCCATGTTCTCCCTCGCCGCGGCGACCATCTACTCGGCTGTGACGGGGTGGAACTGGCGTCGCATCCGCACCATCCAGGGGGACATCAACGAACTCAAGGCGCAGCTGCCAACTGTGGGGGGCAAAGCCCCATCTTTGCCGCTGTCCAAAACGATCGCATCGCTGTCTGCTGAAATCGACAAGCACAAAGAGCAAGGGGTGAGTGATGGAATGGAATGGACAACAACAGCCATAGGGTCTTTGTGCTGATGTCTGTTCTATCTTATGTGTGCTTGTGCAGGAGATGCAGGAGAACGTGAGTGCAATGGAGGCCGACTTGCAGCGGCTTCGGGCCGCCGTCCCCCTGGGCGACAAGATAGAGGCTCTGTCAGCCACCCGCAAGGAGCTGGTCAAGGGCGACTTCCGTGACAAGCACTGGACAGTCGGCTCCGTCCTTCTCGGGCTCGGTGTGACGTTCGCTATCGAGGGACCGGTCAACACCTACCTGCGGACAGGCAAGCTGTTCCCGGGACCACATCTGTACTGCGGCGCGGCGATCACTGTCATGTGGGCTCTCGCTGCGGCGCTCGTCCCGGCCATGCAGAAGGGCAACGACACGGCTCGCATCGCCCACATTAGCCTCAATGCTACGGGAGCGGCTCTCTTCCTCTGGCAGATCAACACTGGCCTGGGCATCTGGCAGAAGACCCTCGAATTCACCCAGTTCCCGTAGGTTCTCGTGATCTTGGCAGTGCAGTGGTGGGTGTGATGGACGGACGGACGGATGGATGGTTTGATGGATGTGTGCGTGGCGGGGGATACATGGATGGGTGTATGCGTCGATGTGATGCATCGATGTGTGGCGTGTTGGGTGTGTGATGTGGAGGGTGTATGAGGGAGGGGACCGATGTATCGCACGGTTCGCTGCGAGCGCTTGGTTAGCTTGTCGGGGTGTTTTGCTGAGACGATTGTCAATGGTCTGAGTTGTTCGCGAGTCCGCAGATGATTTGACTGTTGATCAGACTTTCTCGTGGGCGAGTTGGAGAGTTCACAGTAGATAAGCATTCAGTGACGATAGAGGTCCACGTGGATACACATACTTGGTAGGGATTGGAAGGTATCACACAGATCATATGTCTCGTAGATCGCCGGGAAGATGAAGCTCGCATCTGCAAGAAAGCTACTCAGGGGAAAGGAGGCACCTGTGCGTCTGCTGTTTGCTCGCGTCGGTTCCTTCCTTCATCGTCGAGTCGACTTCCGTATCTGACGCCTCGCTGACTGCCTGACTTCGTCCCACCGATGGATTTCCAGAACCGCGTGGGTCACAAGACCGGCTCCGGCGCTCCCCAGTCGGCTCAGGATGCCGCCATTGACCGTCGCGAGCGCCTTAAGGCGCTGGCGATGGAGACCATCGACCTCAAGAAGGATCCCTACCTCATGCGCAACCATCTCGGCACGTACGAGTGCAAGCTCTGTCTCACCCTCCACAACAACGAGGCCAGCTACCTGGCGCACACCCAGGGCAAGAAGCACCAGACCAACCTCGCCAGACGACAGGCCAAGGAGGCGCTCGGCGCCACGGGAGGCATCATGCCGCAGCCCAAACGGAGCGTCAAGCAGAAGGGCATCAAGATCGGCCGGCCTGGCTACAAGGTCACCAAGGTCCGGGACCAGGAGACCATGCAGAAGGCGCTGCTCTTCGAAGTTGACTACCCCGAGATCGTGAGTGACGGCCGGCCGCGCCACAGAGTCATGTCGGCGTACGAGCAGCACGTCGAGGAGAGTGACAGCAACTTCCAGTACCTGCTGTTCGCGGCGGAGCCCTACGAGACGGTGGCCTTCAAGATCCCCAACCTTGAGATCGACCGGACGGAGGGCAAGTTCATCGCTCACTGGGACAAGGACAAGAAGAAGTACACCGTCCAGATTTTCCTCAAGAAGCGGGAAGACAAGCCGCTGCCCAGCCTCCCACAGAGGCCAGGAGCCTTCCTGCCCATCGGCGCAAGATGGTGATCCACTGTAGCTGTCTGTCGAGTGTTTGACACAGGTAGATTGGGGTCAGGAGTCACAGCGGTGCGAGGGCGGTGACTGATGGCTGTGTGTGGGATGAGGGAGAGATGTATGTGTGCATCTGTGTGCGCTGCGTTGCGTTGCGTTGCGGACCCTCCCTTCTATCTCAGCTATTTGTTGTGCAAAACCGTTGTCATGAGCTCTTGAATTACTGAGTCGCTCACACTGATGAGTCAGCGGCGGGACAGGGGCCAGACGGACGAGGGGCAAAGATAGAGTATGAATGCACTCACAAAGGGACAGAAAGAGTCAATCAGTCAGTCAGTCAGTCATGCCAGGAAGCTCATGGTCTGGAGAATCACCCAACTTACTACTGTACACACCCAGATGCATCCCTCTACTACCATCCACCCGCACTCAATGATCATCTCTTGTGCCTCCTCTTGAGCCCGTCAAGGATGGTGTTCTTGTGCTTGATGCCCTGCGTGAATGAATGCACCAACACAGCAGCAGACACACAACACCTCAATGGTACTCATTGCAGTGATCATGGATCACGTCAGCTCACTCCCTCACGTACCATCCACACGAAGGGCAAGATGACGGACAGCAGGATGATGACCAGGCCCAGCAGGTAGGACCACACGCGCAGCTCAGGCAGCTCCACCATCGCACCAGCCTACCAGCTCAAGGCAGCTCTGTCGCCTCACAAATCATGCACCCGTGCATCTGCCGAGCTGCCTTTGATCGTGGCTATCGTGGCGCCGGACTCTCACTGCGAGCTGTCATGTTTCGGCGATCCCCCCAAGAACTGTCCCTTCGTCCCAACCTCATGTGACTGCGTCTGTAGTCAGTCTGCAGCTTCTTCAAACTCACCACTGTCGAGCAATCTGTTCACGAGATCCATCACTCTGAGCGATGGCACCGCAGGCCGCATGGCTGCTGGTCCTCCTGGGAGTCAGCGTGGCTGTTGCAGGGCGCATCAGGGTCCTGGAGCCGCCTGAGCTGGCCGAGCAGTTTCCGGACGGCATTGAGGGCAGCACCGCCGCATTCGCACCGCCGGTGAGTGAGTGGAGTTGGGATGTTGCAGGGAGGACTCATTCATCAACTGGTCTGTGTCTGTCCCTCTTTCTCATGTGTCTGTCATCCATCCATCCATCCATCAGTATTATGGTGAGCGCATCATGGGACGTCTGGTGTGTGGGGAGAGCCAGTACGGGGAGCTTCACTGCCGCGATAGGGACTACGAGGTCCCAGCCCCACACACGATGCTGCCCAACATTGTCATGGTGCGGCGGGGCTTGTGCAACTTCGTCACCAAGGTGCGAGTGGCGGAGGTGTTCAAGAACGCCAAGGCTGTCATCGTGGCGGACACTGAAGGAGCCATCCGCACCCCAACGGAGATTCAGAGAGTCATCATGGCCGACGGTCAGCAAAGACAGACACACAGCGAGAGAGGGAGGGAAGGGATGTCCCTCAGGAGTGTCTGGTAACATCTTTCTCTCCATCAGATGGTTGGGGCGAGACGGTCCGCAGCCCGTCTATCTTGATCAGCGACATGCATGCCCAGAAGATCATCGACGTCCTCTCCCCACCCGTCAACAAAACGGTCCTCGTCGAGCTCGTCTGGGACATGCCCTTGGTAGGAAAGGGGTGGCAGCACGGCGCACAGGCAGCCAGGCCGTCTGAGCGTGTATCAATCGGCCGTGCTGTGCATTTGCTGCATGCAGTACGCCGACACTGTTAGGATGGACTTGTGGGTGACCCCCGCCCTCGACAAGAGCGTCCGGTTCCTCCAGGGCTTCGCCAAACGCGCCAGACAACTGCGGCACACGGTAGGTAGGCGAACAGCCAACGGCCTGATCCATTCGCTCACGAAGACTTGGACTGACTCCTGTCTGTCATGCGTGTGTGGGTGCAGCTGAGTTTCCGGCCCCATTGGCACATCTTCTCCTTGCCCCCCCTCCATGCATTACGAAGACATGTGTGTGGACGACAACGCCCAGTCTTGCGCGCTTCCCCCCGAGCGCAAGTCGCCTGCCATGTCCACGGGCAGAGACGTGATCGACGAATCTCTCCGGTCGGTGAATGAGAAGTCAGCTCGATAGACACCGAGGTGTGTCGTGTGTGTTAATGTGTGTGTGCAGACAGATGTGTCTGTGGGATAAGACATACACCGAGGGAACGGCCGGCGTTGGCGGATACTCAGAGGTCTGGTGGACGTACGTCGAGGAGTTTCCCAAGAGGTGCGTGCGGACAGATCAGACCAGAGCAGACACATTCTGCGCGCCTGCGGTGCGTCTGTCACATGTTCAGGTGCATGAGCGACACCACAAAGGACACCCACCAGCTTAACGGTACTGCCAATGCATTCGGCGCAGCGTGTTCCTTCGAGCTCATGGCTGAGCTGGGAGCCGACGTCGACACGGTGCAGAAATGCATCAACATGGGCTCGGAAGAGCTGCTGAATCTGCAGCTGAGGACGCACGCTTGGAGCCCCACGGCCATGCGCATCAGTGACATGAGATACGCCGGCCCACCCGACCCTGAGATCGTCGTCAAAGCCATCTGCTCCGAATTCCCAGCACGACCACTTGTGAGGGAGCCAAACAGACAGCCATACAGCGAGGGAGCGAGCCAGAGAGAGAGAGAGAGAAGCTGCGAGATCTTTACATGCGTGTCATCTGCCCTGGTTTCTGTCCGGTGCAGGAGTGCTCGAGAATTGAGATGGAGCAGCTGCAGCACACCCTCGACATGCTTGCTTCGGAAGGGGCAAGACCGGCACGGATAGACGGGAACGTCTTTGGATAACAGACAGGAGATGTGTAAGCACGCTGTGTGTGTGTGGCAATGTGTGGCAGTGTGGTGTGATGTGATGGGTCCTCTGCTCTACTGAAGACAGACAGGGCTGTCTGTCTGTCTGTCTCTTTGTCTGTGTGTGTGTGTAAACACGAGACGCGGTTGGCCGGATGTGTGGATGGACGCTGACCGCGACAAAGTGGATGGGTGGATGGATGCTGGGTGTATGTGTGTGTGCGAAAGGCGCAGAATGTTGTGTTTCTCATCTATCAGTAGAGGTGAGTAGGGCTGTTTTTCGGCATTTTATCCTAAGAAGTCGGTGTCGTGTTGTGTCGTTCTTCGCGTTTTATGGCGTTCCATCACGACCTAGCTAGCTAGCTCCGTTCTTTTTCAGCCGGTCAGCCAAGTTGTGCCTGACCGTCACAGTTCGACATGCATGTATTTGAAGATTGACACTGAATGAACGGTCCCACTGCGCACGTCCGACACGCAATACCTGCACACGCCGCACGTGTTATCCATCCATCCATCCAGGCCAATCTATCTTTGCACACTATCTGTGTATCGATCACACTCGTCTACAGCTCTCTCTCTCTCTCACGAATCGACAATCCCTGTCCCCGCATTCCCACTACTAAATCGTTCCACCAGCAGCAGCAGCGGCAGCAGCGCTGCTCGAGCTGGCGGCCATCCCTGCGGGCTGCGCATACTTGTCCGCATCTGCACCCCCACCGCCCTGCCGCGGCGAGCCCGGCTCATCAGACTCCTCGTCATCGTCATTGTCCGCTCTGGCCGCTGCTGCTGCTGGTCCTGCAGCCGGTGCTGCTGGTGCTGCAGCGGGCTGGCGGGTCACCTGACGCTCAAAGAGACGAGCGATATAGTCGGGTGTGGTGGCGTCCTCGATTGCCTTGTCCTGCCGCACTTGGATGAACCTGATCGACGGCAAGGAGGGGAAGGATGACAATCGTATGTGTGTGTGTCTGGTATGGTTGTTTTGTCATCCTTCGATTGTTTACATACCTTGGGAATCTAAGGCTGATGCCTTTGGTGGGATCCACGAGGCCCCTGGCTGCCGAGTGCTTGGGAGATATCGTCAGATCGGCGCCGCGGATCTCCCACACCTGAACACACACACACCAGACACACGTCAGAAAGAGGCTTCTATGTGTCTCTGTATGGCGTGTGGGCCTGTACCTGGCACGGCTCGAACCACACCGAGGGGATGAGGTCATCGGTGACGTCGTAGAAGCTCTTGGGCTGCGGGATGATGCGGCCGCCATCCTTGTAGAAGGCCAGAAACTCGCGGTACTGCTCGTCGGTGAAGCCGCTCATGACTTTGCAGACGCTCTGCATCTCGCCGTCAGGCGTGACGCACGCCAGCAAATAGGGGCTGAACCAGCCTGCCTTCCGACCATTGCCCCACCACGCACCAATCGGCACCTGGAAAGAGAGACGACCGCACACAGAGAGAGCCGTCTTCATGTGGGCTGGCTGCTCTGTCCCTCCCTCCATCCATCTTCACTCACGAGGTCGAGGCTGTCAGCGACTCCCTCGATGTAGTCCTTCTTGATCTTGGCCCATCCTTCGCTCCGCTTGGTGGGCTCATAGGTGGCGAGGCGCCCGTCGAGGGCCTTGCACATGAGCCCCTCACACCCCTCACGCAGCGACTCGTGCAGCCACTTCTCCACCGTCGCCTCGACCTCCGCACCCGCCTCCTCACTCACGCCCACCTCTCCCTCTGCCTCTACATCTACGGCTGCGTCTGCATTGTCACCATTGGCGGTGAGGGAGATGGTCTTCTCCCGCGCGAATCGGAACTCCCCGTCGACCTCGTGGAACTGCTGGTGCATGAGTGTGCGGCGCTCGGCGAGGGTCTTGGTCAGCAAGGGCTCGCCATTAAGATACAGCATGTCTGCACGCAAGATGGGAAGGGCACGTCAGCCTCTGGGGTGTGGACTGCCCTGCCCCGCCCTGCCTGGCTCGCTCGCCCTCTCACTGACCGAAAAGGAAGACGCAGACGGGTATGCTCCTGTCGACCTGTTTGCGGGAGCGGCCGGTGAGTGTCTGGAAGGGCAGCAGCCGGTGCGGCGGGGAGGGGTCCACCGCCACCAGCTCAGCGTCCAGCACACACGACTCCAGGGGACCTGACAATGCCTCCCTGTACACACGCCACATCCGACAGATGAATGGATGAGTCAATGGCAATCGCTGCCCATCCATCCATCCGTTCACCCACCTGATGTGGTCCATGATGTCGGCGAACCTGACGGTGACGTCCTCCAGGTGCCGAGAGAACACCTTGAACGTCAGCCCGTCACTTCCGCCGGCATCATCGCTGCCATCGATCTTCCTCTGCCCATCGGCCGGCGGCGCCGTGCTGCTGTCCGCCTTCATCAGGTGGATCTGCGCGCGCTGACCGTCATACTTGAACTCGCAGCTGATCGCCGTCGCGCCCTCACGCGTGAAGCTGCGCACACAGATGGGCAAGACCGAATGCACTCATGGTGAGAGGCCGGCCGTATTGCAGCGTCTCTGTGTCTCCACACTTGTACCGTTTGAGTAGGTCTGGGATGGATCTGGTGATCTGGCCCAGCTGAGGGCGGATGGGCGTCCCTGGTCGTAGGATGCACTGCTCCTCAACCCTCTCCCACCCACTGCCACCTGACACACACACACCCCTCTGGGGCTTTTCATTGCTCGCCCTTGTCTGCAGTGTGTGAGGCGACTGACCTTCCCTGCGCCCCTGCAGCAGCTCAGCCACCAGGATGTCGAACGAGGGGCACTCTGAGTAGGCCCGTGCCAGTGCCTTGGCCGCCCGCTCTTGCTTGGCCTTGTCCTTCTCGATCGCCTGTGCGAGGGCCGCCAGCACTGTCTTGGCCACGGCGCCGATCCGCAGATGCTGCCCGAGAGTGCGGACGAGGTAGCGCGTCTCCTTCTCTCGACAGCGGACGAGCAACCCCTGACAACATGGCATCAATGAATGGATGGACGAAGAGAGGTGCGTCAAGGAGAGAGATTGCGAGGTGGGAACGGACCTTGACGATGTTCCTCTTGCTCTCTTGCGACTTGGCGCCTGTGAGTGCGGCGATCTTCCTGAGGCCGGTGTAGACGTCCTGCACGCTCAAGGGCTTGGGCTTGAAGAGCATCCGCACACTGCCGGCACACTCCTGCGCCACATCGCCGAAGTCACCCAGACGCGTGTACCTGCACACAACACAACACAAGACAAGACAAGACAAGACAAGACACACACCTTCCATCTGTGCGGATCTCGATCTCTCTCTGCTTACATCTGTCCGAGTGTGTGGCTGGTCTTGCCCGTCGTCTCGATGACGGCCTTGCCCAGCACACTGCTGCCCACCCCCAGCTCCCCCGCCTCCCACGGCGGCGCTATGCGATTCGTCGTCAGGTAAATGGCCGCCAACAAATCCCCCTCCGCCCGCCGCAGAATCAGCTCAAACAGCCTGGCCAGGTGTCCGATGATCTTGAGCCGACCCGTAATGGCCTCAATCCACTCGTATGTGCGCGAGAGGGCCAGGTATGGGGTGGAGCCGGTGCCGCTCTTGCCCTCATAGAGAGCCTCCAGGTCCTCGGGATCGCTGCCAAGAGTGACGGTCTCGGCACGACAGCAGAGGAAGGCTGCGGGGGCGGGGGCGGGTTTGGGGGCTGGCGGGGGCTTCTCCTCGTGTTCGTTGGCGCGTCCTTCGTCGGCTGGTCGGCTCGATGTGTCGTTGATTGAGATGGCTGCTGCCGCTGCTGCTGCGGCAGCTGCTGCTGGTGGCTCTGCTGGTGGTGGTGGTGGCTGTGGCTCGCGTCCGTGCTGCTTCTTGCCATTGCTGGGAGAGGGGCCGCCGCCGGTGTCTTCCTTGGCCGCCTTGGGCTTGCCAAAGAAGGACATGATGGAGGCCTGCGTGCCGCCTTTGTCCTTGCTCGCCGCCCCTGACCCCTTCTTGCCGCCCTTGCCTCTCCCCCCTTTGCCGTTCCCCTTCGCCTTCGGCTTGGCCTTGGCCTTCGACATGCCCTTGGGCGCAGGGGCGCTCCGCAGGGCGACCTTCTTGGGTGCTCCTGCCCCTCCCCCTGCTGCTGCAGCAGCGGCAGCTGCTGCCGCTGACGGTGCGGGTGCGTCAGGCATGTCCTGATCGTCATCATCGCCGTCAAGCTCGATCACGTCATCGTCCGGCTCTTGCTGCTGCTTGGGCCGTTTGCTGTCCGGGGGAGGGGAGGGCTCGGGTGGGAGGTCCTTGCGCTTGTGTGACGATGCTGATGATGGCTCCGCTTCTTGGGGAGGTGGGGGAGGGGGCTGGCCGGCGTCTTCCTGCTCGTCGTCGTCATCGATGACGACGGGATCGGTGGGGCCGTCTTGGTGTCGACTGTTGTGGTTTGATGGGGACGGGTCAGCGGAGCTTTGGGCGGCGCCGTTGCCGCCATTGTTGTTGTTGTTGTTGTTGTTGTTGCGGAAGTGCTTGTCCAGGAAGGCACGCACACCGGCAGTCTTGTTCTGGAGGAGAAAGTGGCCCGGCAGAGAATGAGGAATGGTGACAGGGCAGCAGGTCTATGTGCGTGGGTCTGCGGCAGCTGACCAGGTGTGGTTGGAATCGTTTGAGGATGTTCTTGCGATCGTTGTCATCCGAGAAGACAGTCGGGATCTACACACACACACACACACACACACACAGAGGCAGACACAGGATCGTATGTGCGATCGGTCGTACAATGGAAGGCTCTCTCAGATCGCCCTCTCACCACTTGTGTGGGTTTGAGCGTGTCAACAAAGGTAACGAGCTCCTGGAAATTGGAGTGCTCCGAGTAGGCGTAAAGACGGACCTCATAATGACCCCTCGTCCTGACCGCCGCGCCACACACAGACGGAAGCAAGCAGACAAGAAATGCAGACACCTGTCCATTCTCACACACGCGCCTTATTCTCCTTACTTGACAGCGTTTTTGCGATTCCAGTTGCTCGACTCAGCCCATCCAGTGGGGATGAAACCTGACCACACAACACGAGAAGAGACACCTGCCTCACTCGCCCGACCGCCGCCTCCTGGTCTCCCTCACCCGTGACGTGGCTGTAGGTCCTGATGAGATTGTGTTTCTCCAGGTAGCTTTCGAGGTTGGCGAAGTTGGGTCGGAAGAAGGGCCACATCTCGCCGCACATATCCATGCCGACCACGTGCACAGGCGTGGCTGCGGGGTCAGTGGTGAAGGCAGCGATGTCCTCGTCAGCCATGCCCAGGCAACGGAAAATGCGAGACTGTATTCAGCCATTCCATCCGTCGACACAGCCAAAAACAGACAGGTGGCGTGATTGCAATGAACTGACGATTGACGCACTGGTTAGGTTGCCGACCTTTCTTTCCTCTAGGTAGATCTTGACTCCACACGTCTTTGCGACCGCGAGTGGGATCTTTTCCTTCCCTGACCACACACACACACAAACACGCCAGAACACACTCCATCAACGAAAGGGGACCCTCCTCACCTCTCTTACCAATCGTGTAGGCGCTGACAAGGAAGAGCGTCCTCTTCGGAATCCGCTCCACATCTTCCTCCCCCTCACCCCCAGATGCAGCAGCAGCAGCTGCTGCTGCGGCGGCGGCAGCACTCGCCTCGGGCGACCTCACCTCTCCCTCCAGCAGCTCCTCCCCTCCGTCATTGGCTGTCTCCCCAGCCGCGTCAGCTTTCGACGCGGCCAGGGGTGCCAGACCGACGAGAGGGGGGGTGTTCGGCGGCCGCTCGCTGGCCAGTGTCTCCTGTATGACGTCGACGATGGACTGGATGGCGGTTTCCTGCGGAGGGAAGACGTGCTTGGGGTGGCTGTAGGTGGTGTCGAGATAGATGCCGTCGATCTGACAGCCACGGCCAACGAACACAGGCAGCGAACATGCATAAGACGGTCGTCTCTGCAACTTGTGCACGTATGTACCTTTTTGTGTTGCAGTGCTGGGTGCTGGAGTATGCGTGGATGGAAGCGGAAGTCACCGGTGTGCAGGAAGGCCTTCCCACTCGACAGCTCAAAGAGAAACATCACCGCACCTGCGCACACGCACGCGCACAACCGCACCGGCCCCTCACCCATCCATCCATCCATCCCTCCATGCTCACCCGGGCAGTGATGCGCGTCGATGAGCGTCACCTTATGCCCGTCACCCATGTCGTGCGCCACGTCCAGGGCCATCGCTTTGACATACCGGGGTGCCACCGCCATGATCTCGAGCAGCAGGCGGGCCGTGATGGGTGAGCAGTGGATGACGCCCCTGTCCCAGCGGTCTGTGATGCCGCTGTAGTGGTCGCCATGGTAGTGCGATAGGAAGAAGGTCCGCGGAGGCGTCAGAGGGCGGCGGAAGAAGTCCACAAGGAACCTGCACAGATGAGATAACCACATACAGCAACAAGATCACACGGATGGATGGCATTGCATGGCTGTTGCATGGTGGTGCTGGCTGGTACAGTCCCACGTACGTCGTTCCCGAGATCTCATGCACTGAGATGTCCTTATTCATCGCCCATCACAGATGACAGACACACGCTCAACGCAGCTGTCCAAACTTCGTCAAACACGCGCGCAAAAAGAGAGAGTTTTCGCGACGAGAGGGCGCGAGCTCAAACCTCGGGTTGAGGGTTGAACCCTGGATCCTACGCGCGCTGTGCAGAAGCAACAACCGTCACCCGCCGGTGGACGTGATGGCGCATTCAAGCAAGAAGCGACGCACAAGCAAAGAGGTGAGAGAGAGGAGGGCGGCGGCGAACATGTGAGCCAAATTGCCATTGGTTTGCCGATCTGTGTGTGTGATGCTCCATGGGTGATGCTCCATTTATGCAGGCTGCGTTTGCGGGCAAGAGTGGTGGAGATGACTCATCTATTGCACAGCCTGATGACACGCACGCCGAGGTACACAACAGATGCAGCAGACACACATGCATTCGGTCCATCGTTCATTCATTGGTTGGCGGTGCTTGGCTTGTCTCGACTCAGTCCGTCGAATCGCTGCCTCTGTTGAGCATCCCTCTCGGTGTCCGTTCCACCTTACTCAGCCCCCTCCTGGTCACACAGTGCATCATCGGCAGCCTCTCCCTCGTCAAGTCGGCATTCCACACTCTCGCCATCGACCCACAGATGCACCGCACAATCTACCTCAAGTCCCGACAATGTCCCAAGACGCTGGAGGACAAGCAGATCCGCCTCAGCGACCGTCAGGTCGATGCGTGGAGCCCTCGCTTGAGCCGCACCAAGCGCATCATCATGCTGTGACCGACGGAGGAGAGCCTTGTGCGTCTGATCGAGGCCACACACCTGACACTGACATACTTGGAGGCGGGCAGTGAGTTTTCAGGGTACTGGTGCAGTCTGACACAACAGGAGTCGCCCCCGCTGGAGTTTCCGGTGCTGACGGACGTGGCGGTCGCCGACTATTGGATCCGGGTAGCCAAATACCACAATTGGATCTTACGGTAAGAGAGAGAGAGAGAGCGGGAGAGAGAGGGAGGGGGGGAGATACCACAGACAGCCCATCGCTGGTCTGGTTCCACGTCGCTGCGGTCATTGAGCATGTGCGACGACAAGGTCTCGCAGCGGCACACCACCGCGGGAGACGGCCGCGGCCGATGGTGGCGGCAGCACACTTCGCAGCTCCATTCGCTCGAGTACGAAACGGGGAAGGCCGACTGTGACGTTCGGGCGTTGGCCATCGAGAAGTGGGACAATGGCGAGGACGGGGCGGTGCTGTCCTCGCTGTTCGAGTGCCCGCCTGATCTGACTCATCTGAAGCGGGTGACGCTCAAGGTTGCGACCATGGGAGGCGTGCTCAGGCGCCCCCGACGGGGGGTGTACATAATGGGCGGTGTGGGTTCGCAGACGGAGCTGGTCAAAGACGACAAGAATGTTGTCCGTACGTGCCCGATTTGGGAGTTGGTGGGCCTGCGACAGATGGAGTCATTCCTGCAACGGAAGCTGTGATTGATCACGGTGATCGAGCAGCCAGGGGGTGAGCAGGGAAGACAGACGTGACCCACGTATGAAAGGATGCTATTCATACACCCATTGCTCACCTGCCGTGTCTGAATAGCATCGTGCTTGAGGTGGATCGCTGCTGGGGACAGGGGAGAGAGAAAGACAGCCACTTCCTGAGCGCGTTCGAGCAAGTTAAGCTTGGCCGCGGCCGCTTTGATGCGCTGCTGCGGGCGGCCGGTTTTGACGTCGTGGAACTGACCCCGCTGGCCCATGTGTGTCGCACGGAGGTCCGCCGCATCGGTTGTGTCTGTGACCCGCTGCAGCGAAAGATCACTGACTACTTCTCTGCTGTGCACTGAGGAGTGGGGGTGGGTGTTGTGGCACCATTGTATCGTTACGTTGGTGTGAGAGACACACACTGGTGCCATGTTTGTACAGCCGTCTGACCCTGTGTGTGCGTTTGTGTGTCATAAAGTGTGTGGACCGACGGGCCGACCATTGTGATTCCAACAAGTTTTGATTGACACGGGCTGGGCTCATGCGGACTATGTGATGGTGCGTGCGTGCGTGGATCCCGTGTGGCGAGGGCGGTGACAAACATCGAACTAATGATTACACACCACACATGCACACACCCATCCATCCATCCATTCATCCATCCATCCATCCATTTCAAGCAAGCAAGGTGAGGTGAGCGTTCGCGGACAAGGACAAAGAGTTTGAGGCGTGTTTGAGCTTCACGCCGACCCCTCTCCGTCCCCCTCCCGCACACGGCCACCTCACCTGTCTGCTCTGCCACCCCACACGTGATAGGGATAGAAGATACACACACGGGCCAAGCTAGGATTGCTAGTAGCGTCTGTTGCATGCCTCGCTGCGGATCTCAGTGCTGCTGCCGCCTCTCCTCACCCAGTCTCTCAACAGGGGATGCAGCCCTTGAGAAATTAGGTGACGAGGAGCATGAGCACTGAGATCCGCAGCAAGACTCTCGTCTCAAGAACACATCCACAAGCAGCCAGTGAGTGAGGAGCAGGTATGCAGGAGCCAGCAGTAGCGACATGTGCACATCTCTTCGAAAAGTCGGACCACAGACAGACAGACACCACACATCCATGACATGATTGAATTGGCCCACACATCCCGTCGTGGGCTGGCCACACAAAAATCGATATGCAGGACGAGTACTTGTCCGCCTGTCTGTGTCTGTCTGTCTGTCTGTGAAGGGACCGGCGCACACGACCGGTCCGCGGCAACGGCTCTGCACACAAAGTCCATCCATCCATCCATCCATTCGTCCATTCACGCAGGAGTGAGTCAAAAGACGGACGGCCATGCAGCCAGAAAGGCGGGGCCGCAATGCCGTCCATTCAGATCGATACAGAGAGGGAGACAGAGGCAGACAGGCAGACAGGCAGGCAGGGAGGCAGGGAGGCAGGGAGGCAGCAACAAACAGGCGGTCTATCTGTCTACAAGTGATTGATAGTGATGCCATCGGATCAAAATCATCACCAGTCATCATCAGGCGGCCTTCTTGGCCGTCCCGCCCCCCGTCGTCCCCATACCCATCGCAGTCTGCGCACAGAGAGCGCACAGAGAGAGAGAGAGAGAGAGAGTGGATGGCCTGTGTCGCGTGTGAGACCGGGCAGCATTTGTGTGTCGCATCGCACCTTGAATGTGTCGTAGATCCACCACTGGAGGCCGGTGAGTGTGCCGATCATGAGGATACGGGTGCCGATGCCCTTGGTGCACAGATTCCACGCACCCACCTCTGACGCTATCTGACCCAATCTGAATGAAGTTACGAACCAACACACAACACAGGACACAGACATCCATCATATCGCCCACATGAGGTCATGCGTGAGCGGCCGTCGGTGTGTACCCTTTGCCTTTGTGCTCCGCCTTGCCCAGCTGCGAGACCAGGTTGTCCGCGGGGTGGGACACGACCGCACAGATCACGCCAGCCAAGTAACCTGACCACACACACACATCCACACACACACATGAAAGGTAAGTCCACACACGTGTAGGCCTCCCCTCCTCCCTCCCTGCCTCTGCGTGTGTGTCCTTCATTCACCTGATGCGAATGTGACCCCGAGTTGTGTGGGTTTGGAGTAGGTGTCCTTGGGCTGTGTGAAGACGTTGTCGTAGAAGAGCTGCACGCACTTCTCAAAGAAATAAAACTTGGCCATGGTGTACGGGATCTGCCGACTCCACAACGGAACCACACTGCCAAACTGACACACATCCACACACATCGATCTCTGCCCGCCCTGCCCCGCCATTCATCCCCTCACTCACTCACTCACTCACCGGGAATCTGGTCTCTGCGCTCTTCTCGACCATCTTGCTGGTGGCGCCAACGAGGTCTGTCGGCCACGTGCCCGCTGGTGACGTCTGCACCTTGACCTTGACCATCTCCATGGGGCACAGGGCGATGTCGGCGAAGAACTCGGCGCTCGCACTCGCCCCCAGCCAAAGGAAGCCCTTGTACTTGGCCGCATTCTCCTCGCCCGCCGCGTTGGCGTAGACGTCCTTGAAGAGCTCGTAGAAGCCGAACTTGCAGAGCCCCTGCATGGAGTAGCCGATGAAGGTGGGCAGCCAGCCCAGCGCCAGGCCGCCCATGCCCTCCTCGGCCACGATGGTCCGGATGCCCGAGAAGAGGCCGGTGTACTTCTGGGGGAAGACCTGCATCTTGCACTTGGTCACGTCCAGGGGCACCACGGCCGTGTGGGTGAAGCCGCAGCTCATGATGCCGCCGATCATGCACTTGCCGTAGTACAGCATGTTGTGAGGGTGGGGATGGGGCTTCCGGGATATGGGCTCAGACAAGGTCGAATCCCACTTGGTGGCCGACGCCATGACGATATCTGCTGCTGACTGGAGGCAAACAAGGGCGGTTGACGCGCTGTTAGCCGATGACTGCGATGCACTGGGGCCACAGGGAAGGGCTCTGAAACCGCTCTGGTGAAGAAGAAAAGGCAGCTCGAGTGCAGCTCGAGTGCAGCTCGACCAGTTTTTTGAGCTTGCACCGTTTGCGAGCTTTGAAATCATTGAGAGCAGATTGAACGCAGATTGATGAATCGCAGAGCTCTACGACGCCCACACTGGCGGCCTGGTCTGCTGCAGCCCCAGGTCAAGCCATCTGCCATTCGGCAGCACCGCCGCGACGCATCTACAGGGTCCGAGGCAGCAGCAGAACAACCATTTGAGGGCCCCGCTGCTGCTGACGCTTCTCAGCTGGTGGGTGCAGACGGCCCCGAGCCGACGCAATCATCGAGTGATGACTCTGCGGGCAGCTTCGAGAAGAACTGGGATCATCACGTGACGACGCCGCGGCTGCTGCGTGAGGAGATCTTCTGGACGCGGGTGCCCAAGACGCACGAGAAGTTCTGGTTTGAGGATGACACGCAACACTCGGTCAAGAGGAGGGTCACTGAAAGCTTCGAGCAGGCCGGCTTCCCTCTCAGCGGCAAGCCCCTCGCAACCTCCCAGTGGCACGACCATCCCTACCCCAAGAACGACTACGCCTTCTGGCCCAACCCAGTGCTTCACAACCATCGCCTCAAGCCCTTCTACCCCCTCCCCGCCCCCACACAAGGCAGTGCCGATGCGAAGGAGAGCAAGGAGACGGGCAGGCTGCAGGCGCTCGCCAACCGCAAGCGGCTCAACGCGCTGTGGAAGTACTCATCTTCCCACGGCATCAGCTGGGACGAGCTCGATCAGCTGTACATTGCCTTTATCCAGGAGGCCCACAGGCGGGCGGCGGTGTGGGAGCACTTGAAGGGCGCCTTGCGGCGTCACGCCGAGCAGCGTGCTCGGAAGAAGGTGTTTGGCATGCGGCGGGAGCAGCTGAAGAGGGAGGGGGTGGATCTGGGGCTGGAGGAGACGGACCCCTCAAAGCCTGAGTTCTACGACAACCCGCGGCACCAGGTGCTGCTGCCGAGGTCGCTCGTCAAGGAGTTCACCATCAAGTAGGGACAGAAGGGAAGGACAATTAAGGGTACCGAATACTCCCACTTACCGTCGCTTCGTGGCCTGTGTGGCGTATCAGGTATCTGCGCGCGTGGAAGGGCATGTTCTACTCCCGTTATTACAGCCGCGGCACCCTCTGCCGATATCTCAAGCGGGAGGTCACTGACCGGATGCTCAAGCGGGAGGCCAACGAGCGCACCTACCGACCCACCATGTCAGAAGGTGCCGAAGAGGACTCGAGTGACAAGGAGAAGGGCAGCAAGGAGGAGGCCAAGAGAGGGGCCAAGGACGCGAAGAAGAAGGAGGAACCAGACACACAACAGACGAAAGAGGAGGTGAGCGGGCCCGCCGGCCCTCAGAGCCAACATGTCACTGACACACTGACACATCTATCTCCCTGTCTGTGGTCTGCGTGTCATCAGGCTCCCACGCGCGTCGACGTGCTCGGCAACATAGTGCCGCGAGACACACGTGACGACCGGCCCACCCAGAACGAGCCGCAGCCGCGCTGGGAGGGCGAGTCATTCGTCGACGGCTACGACGCCTCCTTCCGCCAGTGGGATCTGCGTGGTGTGCCGGTGGACCGCTACAAGCGCGTCGACATGCTGTGGCAGCGGCCATACATCAAGAGGTGGCTGCCCAGGCTGAAGAGGAAGAAGGCCGAGCTGGCGCGGAAGAGGGGGCTGGTGGATGGGGTGGGGGGTGAGACGACGAGTGAGTTCAGATTCGATAGTGATGATGACGAGGAGGAGGACAAGAAGGAGGACGAGGAAGGCCAGCAGGCAGAGAGCGAAAAGGAGACGGGCGAGGGCAAGGGTGAGTGACGCTGCGTTGTATTATGTTCGTTAAGCCAGCTTTGTCGAGCTCGTTTGTGAGCGTTGTCGAGTGAGTCGAGTGATATAGATCGCCTGCCTGCCTGCCTGCCTGGCTCACAAGAGACTGACTGGAGATATTTGAGTGAGTGACATGTTAACGAGTACACCACTCAAACAAGTTGAATGGATTGGTGCCGCCCGTTCACTTGGTGTTCGGCAGCCGCGTCACCCATGAACGCTAAGCTATCCACAACGCATGGCATGCAGGTCATATCAAAAAGCCTGCAGGAATCCATACGTCCGTCCACCGCGCACAGCATGTACTTACTATACACACTTCAAGATTGCTGCATACTCCCGATTAATTCGTTCCCACTGCTGCCGTCAACTGACTCACTCGTTCGCATCTGCCCGAACCTCTTCACCATCCTCCCCTCTATCAGCCGCACCTGCCCCCTCCTCCCCACCCTCAATCTCGGCCTCGACCCCCTCACCATTCCCTGCTTGTTTCTTGCGGAAGTACGCACAGCGGGTCTCGGCCAGGGGGCACGAATGGCACTGGGGGTTGATGGCCCGACACACTCGCCGGCCGTGGCGGATGAGCAGCACATGGAGGTCGTGTTTCTGGTCATCGGGGACGACGCTGTTCATGAGGCGGTACGTGTGGTCAGCCGTCTTGGTCTCGGTGTCGAATATGCGGTTGCACAGCCGATGGACGTGGGTGTCCACTGCGAACTCGGGGCGATGCAGCGTGAACTGCATTGCATGCACACACATGATGATGGCCACGCACAGACAATGCGATCGTTACCAGTCAGCCATTTCGCCTGCCCCGTACCATGAGAAGGCATGCGATGCTCTTGGGGCCGATCCCGGTGTAGGTGGCCAGCTCCTCCTTGGCGGCCTCGGTCGTCATGTCCCTCAAGTGCTCCAGTGAGCAGGCGCCATGCCTGTCATAGATGCCCTGCAGGAGGGCCTGGATGCGCTTCGTCTTGACCGTAGCAAGGCCACCCTGCACATATATAGGGCCACGAAACACGAATGACATTAGCTGTCTGTCTGTCGTACTACCTTACCGCCTGTATGGTCTCCTCGACTTCCTTTGCAGGCGCAGTGCGGATGGCGGCGAACGAGGGATACTTGGCACGGAGAGAAGCCAAGGCACGGGAGGAGTTCTTGTTGGAGGTGTTCTGGCTCAGCACCAACGCCTACATGACAGACAAACAGGCGAGACGTTAAGGTGTGCATGCCATGCCGTGTGTGTGTCTTAGACTGACCACAGCTGCATCGAGGACCTCCCTCTTGTGTCCGCATGCGTTGCTAACATTCTCCTCCTTGACCACCATCCCGTGTGTCTGCTCCAGCACAGACGTCACCTCCCTCACCAGCCCCACATCAGGCGCGTTACCCTTGGCCGCCGCTCTCGACCGCGACCTCTTTCTCTTTCCCGCCACAGCTTCACCCTCGCCATCTCCCTCCTCCTCCTCTAAGGCCATCTTCTGCCCTTTTGTGTTCTTCCTCTGCTTCTTCTTTGGGGCAGCTGGTGACTTCTCGTCGTCGCCATCAGCAGCTGACGTCGCCTCCCGAGGCTTGGCCCTTCTCCGCTTCTTGCCCTTGTCCTCTTCAGCAGCAGCCTCCTGCATCACGGCAGATGAGTAGGCCGTCTTGAGCAGCCCCTTCATGACTGTTCGCCATCTCCCTCGCGCCATGGTGGCCTCTGCATCGGCGGCGATATCTTCGATATCGCCCACCGCTGCCGTGGCCAGATGGGTCTCCGAGGGGTCCATCACAATGCGTGAGCGGCTGAGGGATGAGGGCTGGTGGAGGAGCCTTGACGGGATGGACAATGAGGGGATGAAGCAGGGCAGGGAGTGACGGAGTGCAGGTGCGCAGATGGTCTTCTGAAGCGACAACAGCTGTGCAACCAGGGGAAGGAGATCTCTCATGCGGGAAGATGCATCTTGCCCAGATCTTGCTCACAAGACCTCACGAGATGATGACGGCTTCCTCGGCCGCATTTGCGAGCTTAGCGGCGTCTTCCTCCCTTTTGTAGTCTTCCCCCCCAAAGCGAGTACGCTGGCCCAATCGATGTTGCCGTCTGCAAGATCTTTGTGCCTGCTCCATTCCTCAAGGCGGCAAATCAGAAGATGCTGTTCATCTCATCTATCTCATCAACGCGGCTTCTCCTCCGATGCATCCTCATCTCCCACCAGCCCCAGCCCCTTCTTCGCCCCAGAGAGCGACAGCAATGCCGACGATGATGGCGATGGGCAGCAGCCGCACGCCAACGTGGATCTGAGAAGGCGGCTGGTGCTGGGCCTCTGCGTGTCGCGTCACTGCGCCGGGTATGCGCTCATGACTTATGACACGAAGCCTCTGAAGGTGGGCCTCATCGACCTGTCGAGTCTGCCCAACGTCAACGAGAAGGCCGTGGAGGTTATGGGTGTGCTCAACGTTCTGAAGACGGGCCAGCTGCAAGTGCTCACTAAGGAGCTGTCGCAGCAACACCCGCAGCACGCCCAGCAGCCACAGGCAGCCGACCCCCAGAGGCTGCTCGAGTGGACGGTTGGTATGCAGGAGTACAGTCGTGTGCCCAACCCGGGCAAGGACCTGCAGAAGGTCACTGAGATCCAGAAGCTGGTCGGCATCCTCTCGCATGACATTCCGCGGCTGCTCGGCGTGTCGCCCCGCCCCGTCTACCTGCGCACAGCCAGGGAGTTCCTCGCCACACGCGCCGGCCGTCTTCTCGAGAGCCGCAGCGAGGTGCTCGAGTACGTCAAAGAGAAGATCCCCAACTTCCCAACCATCGCTCGCAAGGACGGAGGCGTCAACGACACGAGCTACTTCATGTCTGACGCGTGGATGGTAGCCACTTATGTGCAGCGACTGGCCAAGCGGGAGGAAAGAGGGAAGAACCCCCGGCTGCTCGAGTCGTTGCGCAAGAGGGCCATGAAGAGCAAGACCGTCCGGGCGATCCAGCAGACGCTCGATGGGCTGAGTGCCACCAGCAGGCCGGCGGACAGGAGGGTGAGCGACGGGCTGCAGAGTGCGTTGGAGAGCCGGGTGGAGAGGAAGGTCACAGAGCAGCTGGAGAAGCTGCTTGACGAGGAGGAGGGCATTAAGGTGATGGACAGGGCTGAGCTGAGGAGGCAGCGTGCGAGGCAGCAGCAGAGGAAGCAGGTGTATGAGTCTCTCAGGCAGGAGGAAGGCAGCACGGGGGAGGGAGGGCAGACAGGAAGCACGAGGGAGGGGGAGGGGGAGGAGAGGCCAGTACCGGAGAGGAGAAGGAAGAATGAGGAAAGCCCTGAGTATCCTGTACCGCCTGGCTTTCGGTAGCTGGCTGCCTATGGTACATTGTGTGTGTGCATGCCTTGTTGTCTTGTGAATGACTGTCTCCATTTATTTGCTGATGTGTGCGTTGATGCGTGGGTGGGGTGGCGTGCACTGTGCGGACACGACCACAGACTCACAATTCTATGCATTGAAGATACTGTCGGCACTTCCACAAGCCAGCTGGCGTACACGTGTGTTGAAGCCATCACACATGCGCTCGCACATGATGAAGAGTCTCAACCGCACACCCATATATTCACACGGCAGCGGCCTCTTTTGCATGGCCCTGCGGGTGTGCCAACGAATCACCCACCTGCAGCTGGCCAGCTGCTGATGGGTGAGGCGCCGACCGCCCACACACGCACATGCAGAAAAGGCCGCAGAAAGGATTGACACGCGTGAGGAAGTAAAGGCCACTGCCCGCCCCGCCTGTGCACCCCAGCCCCATATCTGTGCTATGCTGTGCTGTGCCCTTCAGCCGATGTCTGTCTCACTGGTTGGCCACAGAGAAGTAGTCAGTGATGCGCTTCTGTGAGGAGATGCGCTTCTGTGAGGAGATGGGCAGGCCCATCCGCCGCACCTCCATCCGACAGAGGTTATCTAATCTCGCTAATTCGACCATCTCGAAGCCAAGCTCACGCAGCAGGAGGTGACAAGGGAGTCGGCGGCTGGCACCGGCTGTGCCAGGCCGACTCACCATGCACTCCTGCATTGTGGCTACGATCATGTCCCCCCCTCCTGGCTCTCCTCAAACGGATCACTCACATTGACGACAAGCCGATCGATGCGACAAAACCGACGAATCGCTCGCACACATCTGTCTACGAGTCGGTCACACGCTAAGACGAAGCTCTCTGTCTCACTTTCCTCCCAATCCATGGTCGTGGTGGCCTCACGAACTCTCTCAGCGATCGGCCTGCCCTGATGCTCTGTCTGATGCAGTGAGAACCTCAAGCCTTGCCTCGCCCATCCCAAATCCCCCACGTCCGTGTCAAACGTGTCTGAGGCCGGACAGCGCAATGTCTCGAGCGTCGGGAGCTGCCCCAGCACCCTCTGCACGAGCGCATCGGACATGTCAGCACCAAACACATCTGTGTGCGTCACCGAGGGGAAAAGGCGAGCCACATTCGACAACACCACGTCAGGCAGTGGCAAAACGCCGGCGTGGCCAGCATTAGCGCGCCGGCACAGCCACAGAGTGCGTGTTCGCGAAAACACGAGTGACGGGATGAGGCCATAGAGTGCGAGATGGAACACCTGTGTGCCAGTGAGCTGAGTCCTCATGACAGCCCAGGTAGCTGCCGAAGCTAGGATCTTGATGGTGCCCGCACAGCTACGAAGGACCTCGTCAGACATGTCCGATGAGTCGAACAGCGAACTCAGGTCGAAGTGAAAGTCGCTTCTGCTCCAGTTCTCGATGGCGTTGGGGGCGAGGCAAGACTTGCGAAACCCATCTATGGCCTGCACGCCACACACATGTACAGAGACAAACAAACAAACACACAGACAGACAGACAGACAGAGGTGTGTCCTGGCGAATGTGTGCGTGTGCCGTCTGCTTGTGTGTGTGAAAGAGAATGCTACCTTGAGTAAGTCGGTCGACAGAGAGTTCAATGCAATGTCGACCTCCTCCAGCCTGAGGCTGCGCTGAGCCAGCAGCCGTGTGCCTCCTCCGTGGGTGAAGCACGACCGCTCACTGGTGAAGCGAAGGCGCCTGAGAGAGAAGAATGAAGGGATACACATACACGCGCGTGTTTCGGTTCTATCGTGCTCCTCACTTGAGGGCGCTCAGGTCAGGCACAGATGTGGTGACCGGCAGAAGCTCCTGCAGCGGGAGCGTGCTGTGGGGGTACGGATGGGTGCTCGAGCACCCATCATCGTCGTACTCGAGCGACCGCAGGGCTGGCGCGAATGAACGCCACCACACACCGAAACCGATCACGGGGGCCAGCAATCGGCAGTCGCGAACGCTCAATGACACGAGCGACCCGCAAAGCCGCACAATCAACAACACCACACACACATGAGAACTGTTCTGCTGGGTGTATCATTCGCTGGCCTTGTCGCCTACCTCAGTGCCCATCGCTTGCGTGGCGCCGCCTGCGCCCAGTCGCCGCCCACACGCGCCTCCTCCAGCACCGGGAACTCCACCAGAGACGCCCCTTGACGCACTGACAGCAGCCTGGGCGTGCCGTGCCGCTCTGATGCCGAATGGTCCATCTCGAGGTAGGTCAAGGTGTTGCTCGTGCCCTCCACCAGAAGCACCATGCTCTCCGTCACCGGGCAGAGCAGCACGGCGCGCTTGGTCTTGCTTAGTCGGGTGAGCCATACGCTGAGCTGCGTGTCGGTCAGGTTGATGGCCTTGGCAGTCTGGATGTGGACGCAGAGGTGGGTGGACGGCTCAGGAGCGATGGTGTGGAAGGCCTTGCGGATGAGTGAGAGGGTGCCGATGATGTATTGGGTGCCCAGGAGGGGGCTGAGGAAGGTCGAGATGGTGTCGGACGGGACAGTCCACAGGGGAAGTGACGACTGCAAAAGCAACGAAGCACCACACACAGACGGCCCATGTATTTCGTTGAATTTGTGTGGAAAGCGAAGCAGATGGAGTGGTTTGTCAGTGCCTGCGCACCTGCTGTCCATGATTCGGCAGTGGGCATTCATCGCCATCATCATCGTCCTCAACCAACATCCCATCTACATCCTCCTGCAGGCAAACACGAAAAAAGCGAAGCCACGGTTGCGGTTCCTCTTTGTTGTGTCTTCCCGCCCTCTCCCTTACCTCTTCTTGACGTGAGCAGTGTAGTTTCGCCATCAGCAGACCTCCTCAAGCCACCGACCCGCTGATGCCCACTGTCCATCCCGCAGCCGGATCCTCTCCATCCTCGCCACACATGCAGTGTCCAGATCCCTCCTGACGGTCTTGCAGCCGGGCATCTGCCGTCTTCTGGAATCACCTTTGAGCTCGCAATTGCTCGGAGGAAGCAGCAGCGGGCTCAATGGAGCGTGCGCCATCCATGGGCGTTTCGGAGGTCTCATCGAGAGCCAGCTGTGGCTTAGACTGAGCGGAAACCGCGCCAAACTCTCGAGCCCCAAACTCTGGAGCGGTTGCCCTTCTCCCCCTCCGAAAGGACGACAGGATCCCGTCCACGGCCGGTCCTGCCCCAGCTCTTTTCTCTTCCCACAGCCCTTCGAAGTGAAGCACGGTTGTTTCTACCCTTCGCGTCCCCGTCCGGTGGGGGTAGTCTCCGCCCTGTTGCGCTCTGTGTTCGCCTCTCCTATACGCTGCCAAAGGTGCGCAGAGGCCCACTCGTCCATCTCCTGTCTACCGCGTGTTCTCTTGTCCCCCGCCCTCGGCTGATGCACCAATCCCGTGTGTCTCCAGGTTGGCCCGTTTGTTGAGCGATTTGTCTTGGTTGACAACATAACATCATGAGTGACTCGGCAGTCAGGGTGGCCGTGAGGGTGCGGCCCTTCAACCAGAGAGAAAAGGGCCTCGATGCCGTCTGCTGCATAGCCATGGTATAGGGAGAGACGGTCGCTCACGGGAGCTGGCTTGCCTGCCCCACCGTGGATGTGTTGTCTTGTGTTGTGTAGGCTGGACCAACGACGACAATTAATGATGTCGACGGTGGGACAGGAGAGGGGACATTCACATTCGACTACTCATTCTGGTCGCATGATGGGTAAGTAGGCAGCGGAGCTGCACACTGACGTGCCTTCGCATACGGTGCAGACTGTCATGTGTGCAGGTTCTCCGTGAACGACGAGGGGCTGCTGACCCCTGAGGATGGGAACAGCCCTTATGCCGACCAGAAGAAAATCTTTGACTGCCTGGGCGTGGAAGTACCGGTCAGTCGGCCAGACACCAGACAGCCAGCAAGTTTTGGGCATCCATGCAGCAAGATCAAGACAACTGGCTGGTCTGTCTGTCTGTCTGTCTGTCTGTCCTGTCTGTGTCTGCTTCTTTCTCAGAACAACGCGTGGACAGGGTATCACTGCTGTCTGTTTGCGTACGGGCAGACGGGCGCGGGCAAGTCGTACTCTATGGTTGGCTTCGGCCCCAACAAGGGCATCATACCCACCACGTGTGAGGACATCTTCCGCCGCATCGGGGAGAACCACGACCCAGCGAAACACTTCGAAGTGACGGTAAGCAACAGCTGACTGAGCTTGACTGACAGGAGCCGCTCGCTCAACCCGTGTGTATGTGTGCATGCATGGGTCCGAGTGTGCAGATCGGTATGCTGGAGATCTACAATGAGAAGATCCAGGACCTTCTTATCCACCCAAACCAGCGAACAAAGGTGGGATCGATGAGAACCAACCAGGTCCCTGTCTCTGCCATGTGGTGCTGTGTGCTGTGGTGCCTCTGTCAGGGTGGTCTGGAGGTTCGCGAGTCGAAGCAGCTGGGCATCTATGTGCAGGACCTGACCAAGCGGGCTGTCAACAGCTACGAGGCTATTGAAGACCTTGTCGACGAGGGGATGGCGAACCGCACCATCGCCTCCACCCACATGAACGCGTCGGTCTTCACACGCTAATGGAAAGATGCCATTGATTGCTTGCGCTTACTTGTGCCTGTCGTTCGGCCTGTCTTCTGTGCTAGGACGAGCTCCCGTGCAAACACAGTGCTTATCATCGAACTCACACAAGTAGGGATGGATGATCTGTATGTGACACAGGACAATCTACCTGTCTGTGCGCGATGTGTGTGGTAGGTGACTACGTATGCGGGCAAGGAGGGCCGCAAGCCCTCAGTCATCACACTGGTCGATCCCGCCGGCTCCGAAAAGGACGAGCAAATCAACAAGTCGATGTCTGCGTTGAGAAACGTCATATCGGCACTCGCAGACAAGGCCTCAGGTGTGTGGGACGGTAACAGACAGACATACAGGTACACATTTTCCTGCGGACGTTCAGGCAAGTTGAAGAAGGGCCAGCTCATCCCCTACCGAGACTCAAAACTCACCCGACTGCTGCAGGTGGAGATGTCCAGTCGTCAGGCACTCACACGAGCGCCACTCCTGTGCTAAATGCTTCAGAATGCCCTCGGAGGCTCATCGAAGACCATCATGATATGCGCCGTGTCGCCCGCTTCGTCTAACTACGAAGAGACACTGTCGACACTACAATGCGCCGGCAAACACTGACAACAGCACACGCGAGCGTGATTTGCGTGAAGTCTCCACTTGATGTTTTAGATCGCGCCAAGAAGATCAAGAATCACGCCGAGATCGACGAAGACCCCACGGTGAGACGAAAACAGAGAGACAGACCGCCCGTATGTTGTTTCGCCTCCTGATGCATCTGTGAGTGCAGGAGAAGTTGTTCAATCTGCTCAAGAAGGAGAACGAGCGACTCAAGGCGCTGCTGGGAGGTACATACACAGAGAAGAGTAGTGCGTTCAACTCGTGTTGGCTGATGTGCCTGTGTCTGCAGGCCAGGGAGTGGCGACAGGGGGAGGTCCGAACGGCGGCGGCGGCAGTGATGTGAGTGAGACGGAGCGGATGCGAATCGTCGAGGATCACAAGAAGGAAATCGCCGCAATTGAGAAGGCATTGGTAAAGTGTCGAGCATTAACCATACGCCGGTCGTCTGTCATTGTGTGTGTGTCTCGCAGGAAGAAGAGGAGGCAGCCAAACAGGCAGCCGAAAGAGCAAAGGTCGTCCATTCAATGGAGTTAGATGTGGGATGTCTGTCTCGGCTGCCTGTGTGTGGTCAGAAGGCGGCTCGCGATGAGGGCCTGCGTCGGTTTCGGCAGGAGATGGATCGCATCAGGGCGCTCATCCAGACACTAGAATCACAAGTAGGTGGTACATGCGTGGGTGTGTTCCGTGCTTCATCCATCCAGCTTGTGTTGCTTCAGGTAGCTGGCAACGATGCCTCGCTGACTGTGGGCGACCTGTCTGTAGCGGAGGGCCACACGAGGCGTGGCGGCGACTGTCTCAAGGAGGCGGTCAACTACCTCAGCAACAAACACACCACTCACGCAGGAGGAGGCGTCAGATGAGGAGCAGAGAGAGCCCATGCAGAGAAGGAGATTTGTGCGTTAGCGTGTGAGTGCTATGAGCGCGTAATAGCTTCATACTCACTCGCCAGCCTCTCTATCGAGTGTGACATGATCGCGGTAGAGTGGGAGAGCTTTCTCGGGCCTTGTGCATGTGCGAAAAGGGCCGGTGAGGACCTTTCCTGTAGTTAGCTGAATAGAGGATCTGCTGGGCGGTAAGTCCCA